GAGCGGGCGGGGAGGCTGGGCGCCGAGCTCCCCGCCGCCCCCTGCCAGAAAGGGCCTCCTCTTCCCCTTTTGTTCGCGTCTCCGCGCCTCGCAGCAGCCCGAGAGCTTCCGCTCTGCTGCAAGGACGGCGACCGGTTATTTCTCCCCCCTCCCCAGGGTGCGGAGGATTTCCCCGACTGCTGCATCCTGATCCTCAGGCTTCTGCCTGCAGCCTTCCACGCGTCGGGAGCGCCTCTAGTTTCTCTGGTTGTTGGAAGCGTACTTACAAAACCCTCCTAACGAAAATTTGGTCACCGTCGGCCTGACCAAACCAACGTGTTTTTCCGCTCGTAAAAAAGAAAGGGGGCATCGATGTGCTGCTGGACTAAATTACTCTTGTCAGCCTCTGGCCGTGAGGCTTCCGTTTTCCTCCTACTTTGTAGTGCTTCATGCCGGTTCCGATTCGCTCGTCTGTCGGAAAAGCGGTACCGGCAGCCTCTCTTGAGCTCCGTTACTGTAGCGTCCTTTCTGATATAACGCATTACAGTTGAACCGCATTAGCGTATGCCAGTACAGCAGGCATGAAATTCCTGTACTGCTCTTATTTTTTCTATTCAAAAAGCAAGCAGAACTCTCCAGAAAGTGTTGGAAGTTGGAGGCACTACTGGAAATTTTGTAGTTAGGTATCTGTTTTTTTGTTTCAGGGTAGAGTTCAGAAAAGACAGTAAGTATATTGTAACGCGAAGTGTGTATTTTCAAAAACGTAATGCAGAATAAGCATGTTACAATTTTACAGTAGAATGTTTTGCTAGAGATCAGATATGCTTTTGTACTTTAATATTTCTCCCTTCCATGAGTAGATGTTGGTTATACAGGATTGTGGAAAGAATTGGTGTTAACTGTGAGCGTGGGAATAATAATCTTTCTTCCAGGAGAATTCTTATATTTCACTTACACGTATAGAGCCCATAATAGTTTTCTTGCCCTTCAGAATTTTGCATTCAGTTTTCCCAGTCAAGGTAACTAAACTCCTTATGGTTTTCTTTCATCATTCCATGTGAATTACACTTATGTGTGAGAGTTTTACTGGCATTCCTAAACCAGCATAGTTTTGAAGGTGTCATTAGATGATAGCTATCAAGAAAAGCTTGTGGTTTAAAAAATATATATTGAATGCTTCCTTTTTAAAATTAACTACATTCATGGAAATGGCTTGATTAAATGAATTTCTTTTGCTTATATGTGTTCTCTCTGTAATGTGACTTTTTTTTTTTTTCCCCCCCCTCTTATCTGACTTACTTCAAATACTGTGTTGGCAGCAGTCTGAGTTACCATTAGAGTATAAATTTAAACAGGTGGTTTACAAAACTTTAGGTAGGTGCAACTGTATCAGCTTTAAAGCAGGTTATATTGCCCAGACCACGGGGTTGCATGAACTGAGGCACAACCATATAGCTCGCAGTGTAACTTTTCAGACTGTTTTTCACATTATTTCCTGTCCCATCACCCAGTGAAACCAATATAAAGAAAAGAATGGAGAACCAGAAGGGTAAAACAGTAGTGATCTCTTCTGTCTGTGGTGGTGTCATGAATGCACTTTGGGTTTGAGTAGCAGGTGAAATTGATTAGATGACTCACTGTAAACTAGGGGTAAAGAGGAATGAATACGAACAGGTTTGCTGAAATGCTTTCCAATGCCGTTTTGACACACCCAAAATGTTACTTCTCCACATCGAGATAAAGGTATTTAGAGCGTATGTGTTATAAGAATTGCGTATTAGTGTCTTTGTATTCCAATATGTAACTACTTTTTTTTTTTTTACTTGCAGAGTCAACTGTTCATTTTATTTCAAAATTGGAGCTTGTCGTCATGGAGACAGGTGTTCTCGGTTGCACAACAAACCAACATTTAGCCAGGTTTGTTTTCCTTTTGTTTTTCTCTTTCTTGTGGAAATATGTTCTTGCTTCTTTAAAACGTAGATTCTCAGATACAAGTGAATAATTACCAAGCTCCAGATTAACTAGTTCACTTTTGGCCCCAGTTTATATGGGTTTTTGCTTTTTTGGGGGTATTCCATTTACTTCTCCCAGCATTTCTAATTATCTCCTGTCACCCTTAATGGCTGCAGGAAGCGATGCTGTTGTAAGCTTGCCTGTAGTAGAGACCAACCAGTGCTAACTTTCAGGTGAGTGTGCCTTCTCAGTGGTGTTTAGGCACTTAAACCATCCCAGATTTTTTTTTTAGTCACAAACAATGGCAGCTGTTCCACCTATCTTAAAGGTGTGAACTTAAGTCCTTTATGCACATAATAGAAGAAAACTAATTAACAAAAGCAACTCTTCTGTCATTATATTTGCTCTCTGACCCAGGCTCTTAAGTTTCAAGAGTAACTTAGATATTTGCTTTGAATGTGAAAGAATTGTTTATTGAAAACAGCTTGCCTGGTTGCTGAGGGTGCATACATCAGCTGACTTGACAGATTAAATAAACTTTGGCTATATGAATATTGTTAGAGACATGATGTGTGACTGCATGTCTGCCAAAAAAAAAGGTGCGGTGGGTGATAGGGTTTTTATTAATGAGCTCTGTAGCTTTTAGAAGTTATGTTCCTGGAGAACTGTGTGCTTTGCCTTTTTCTATCACTGCTGATTGTCAAGGTATACAGGTAAATAGATTTCTTTGGGAGTGCTGTATATGATAAGTAGTGCCAATGGAAGTGGTATTATCAGCAGTTTCACCTCCAACGGTAAAGTTTACATAGCAGTGGAGTCCTCTGCGAGTTCATTTTAGCTGACTTGAAGCACGATTGAGTAGACTGGTGTTGGTTTGGGGAGCATTAGAGAGGCAAGTGCTATTTGTGTAACTGGAGTTCAGAGCGATGGTGCTCATGAAGTTAAACTTTGTGAGCGTATGAGTGGGCAGGGTAGTTCTAGGAGGGCTGTCTGGGTTACTGGTCTACAGGGACCACTGTTGGTACTCCATCAACAAAACCAGTTTTCCACTTCTGGGAATTTAATAATTTTTCATGTAAATATTGTATCTCAAAAAGAATACTGTCCATTTTCAAAACGACTCCATGTTGCTGACCTACATGGAGTGTGCTGAAATGTGATTGGTTATTTAGACACCCGAATTTAGGTCATTAGCCACTAGAAAATATTTCAAAATTGGATAACTTTCACAGCAGCAGTCTTTTAAGTTAAAAAAAAAAAAAAAAAACAAAACACCAACAAAAGAACCCAAACTACCATCTTTTTTTACAAAAAACTTTCATGTGCCATAATGGTTTCCTCTGTCAGTGCTGTCTTTAGCTTTGGTTTAGAAACTGGGTAGCAATGCTGGCTGAAGGGGGTCAGCAGGGCCTATTTGATACATCCAGTGATGTCTGGGACCCCGCTATAGTGCCGCACCTGGCAGCCATGGTGTATTGTGACATCTCCAATGTACCTGGCAGATGTGTAGGGTTCACTACAGAAATCTTTATTTGTATGCAGATTGATAATCAGCTGTGATAGAAAATGGAGGAACAGGTATCTTGCTAATGGGAAGCTACTGGCACCGTATTTTCATCTTGTGTTGCCATTGCTGGTGCCGCTACTTTATAGAAAGAGTTGTGTTAGGAAAGGCCGTCCAATCCAGGGTGATCAAATTACTGCCGATCAGCAGAAACACTGTAACCATACGCATGTTTCTGGCTCTCCTCTCCAACTGTAGGCTAAAACATAGTTATTTTAAACCTGGGCCACGGAAACACAAAGCTTTGGTTGGTATGAGCACACCCATTATAAAACAAGTGTGTGATATTTTAAATGTGATGTTATGGATTTTTTTACATGTTAAGTGGGCAGCATATGTAGGTATGACATTGCTGGTCCTGTGACTTCTTTAAGTTCTGAATTCTTACTGTGACTAATAATAATGTGTAAGCTAAAATTATTTGGGGATTGCGATTCATACTAACACTGAGCTTGTATTTTAAGTAATCAAATTTCAATTTTTGAGCTGCTTACAGTGATATGGACGTTTGGATTTTTTTTTTTGTAATATTAGTTTACTAACTTAAACATGGTTTGTTTTTTCAGACAACTTGATTTTAAGAAGAACGGTACAAATGTAAGGTTTCAAGTCTGCCTGGGCTAATTCTTCAAGTAAAAAGCAGAAGGGCTAAAAGGATATTGTCCTTATTTGAAGGATCGGAAACATGTGAAGCTATGATGCTATTATATTATTTAAACAGAAATTCCACCAAGAAATTCCTGATGCACAAAATGAGACGTAGCTCTTGCCTAAAAACCTTACTGTCCGGTGTAACATTTTAGACTCCGTGGCATGATGTATGATATGCTGTGCACATAACACTATTTTTTTTCCCCTAGACTGACAGTAATGAATCTGGTCTTGAAAGCTAGGAATCTCCACAATATCCTGTAGTTTGATGTTTTAGGTTACTGTGCCTCCCAACTCCCATGTTGAGGATAGCTGTTGAGACAAATGCAGCTCTTTCTTGGTGGTTAATTAAAACTGTTTTCATAATATGATGGTCTGGATGCAATTTTGGAAGATATTCTGCAAATACAAAAGGAAGTCTTAAGAATAGAATATTACTTTTAGCTGTTTGCAAACAAGTTGTCTCTTTGCAATTGTCTATTATATGCACAGCAGCCAGTAGAATTCCCCTTTTTATTTTTTTTCCCCGCAGACCATCTTGATTCAAAACATCTATCGTAACCCCCAAAACAGTGCACAGACGGCTGACGGCTCACACTGTAAGTCCCACAGTTGGAGAAATTTTTTTAAAGAATGGTGTTAAAGAGCCCACTCCTAATTATGAGAAAATAATGTTGGCTTCTGAGCTGCTGACATAAAGCTGTTGCAAACAGGACAAGTGACGGAACTCTTCTTGCGCATAGATCAAGAACTTGTGAAATGTGTGCGATTCAGAATGCAGAATTGACTGCATAAATTGGACTTGATGCAGGTTCTTTTTTGCACTGCAAAGTAACACTGCATTCTTTTTGAAGGGTTAATCTGCAGACATTTCTCAAATTCTTGACTTAACAAAAAAAAAAAAAAAAAATAGGTACATATGTGATGTACGGTAAGTGTCCCAAAACTGTGGGTATTCTTTCATCTTAACTTTTTTAGGAAAATGGAGATTTCATGTTATGCTGTAATTATTGTATTACTTCCTTTCCTGGGGTTTTGCTACTAAGAAACCATTGAGTAAAACCAAATTCAAACAAATGGCGATGCTTGTAAGTTGAATTCTGTGTTTGGATGCCTTCTGTTACATATCTGCCTGAATTCATGCAAAACCACTCTAATAATATTGGTGAATAAAACAAACAAAAAAATACAATAATGGAGTATCATGAGATCTCTATTACTTTACAGTGTTAGGTTGATTCAGAAAGGTCGCCAGCTAAGTGAAAGTTCTCCTTCTTGGGAGAGAATAACCACCTCTTTTTCAGCACAGACTCGGCTAAAGCGACCCTAAAGGAAACCGGTTTCTTGTTAAAATTATTTTCCATAATATAAAGTTGTTGCGTTTTGTATTTCAGACCATTGCCCTCTTGAACATTTACCGTAACCCTCAAAACTCTTCCCAGTCTGCTGACGGTTTGCGCTGTAAGTTCATACAAGTTCCTTCACTGGTTCCCTGGGCTTGATTGTCAGAGCTCAGTGTCGACTTAAGCTGGTCTACCATTTTAGTTAAACAGATCAAACTGACCACGTTTCATTAAATGTGTCCAAAACACACACAAAAAAGAAAACCACCCAAAACTTTTTTGTCCCACTCACCTTCCTCCCTACTCTCAAAACTATGAGGGGAATCTGAATACCATCTATTAAATCAAAAAGGGTTGAAATTGTACTTCCCCTGTAAAGCAGTCTTGGTTGCACTGCTTTCTTGCCTCCTCCTTTCCCCCTGCCAGTTGCCTGCATCCTAGGAATGCTTTTCTGTATGTTCTGTGCTATCCATTAGGTGCCACTGTCTAAAAGCCACTGTCTAAAAGAGCAGGACAATGACACATTGAAAAAAAAAAAAAAAAAAATAGGTACATATGTGATGTACGGTAAGTGTCCCAAAACTGTGGGTATTCTTTCATCTTAACTTTTTTAGGAAAATGGAGATTTCATGTTATGCTGTAATTATTGTATTACTTCCTTTCCTGGGGTTTTGCTACTAAGAAACCATTGAGTAAAACCAAATTCAAACAAATGGCGATGCTTGTAAGTTGAATTCTGTGTTTGGATGCCTTCTGTTACATATCTGCCTGAATTCATGCAAAACCACTCTAATAATATTGGTGAATAAAACAAACAAAAAAATACAATAATGGAGTATCATGAGATCTCTATTACTTTACAGTGTTAGGATTCAGAAAGGTCACCAGCTAAGTGAAAGTTCTCCTTCTTGGGAGAGAATAACCACCTCTTTTTCAGCACAGACTCGGCTAAAGCGACCCTAAAGGAAACCGGTTTCTTGTTAAAATTATTTTCCATAATATAAAGTTGTTGCGTTTTGTATTTCAGACCATTGCCCTCTTGAACATTTACCGTAACCCTCAAAACTCTTCCCAGTCTGCTGACGGTTTGCGCTGTAAGTTCATACAAGTTCCTTCACTGGTTCCCTGGGCTTGATTGTCAGAGCTCAGTGTCGACTTAAGCTGGTCTACCATTTTAGTTAAACAGATCAAACTGACCACGTTTCATTAAATGTGTCCAAAACACACACAAAAAAGAAAACCACCCAAAACTTTTTTGTCCCACTCACCTTCCTCCCTACTCTCAAAACTATGAGGGGAATCTGAATACCATCTATTAAATCAAAAAGGGTTGAAATTGTACTTCCCCTGTAAAGCAGTCTTGGTTGCACTGCTTTCTTGCCTCCTCCTTTCCCCCTGCCAGTTGCCTGCATCCTAGGAATGCTTTTCTGTATGTTCTGTGCTATCCATTAGGTGCCACTGTCTAAAAGCCACTGTCTAAAAGAGCAGGACAATGACACATTGACTTCATCCAGAACAAATTTCCTGCTCTGTAAATGTTAAGAGAACTTGAATTTTAAACTTTTCAGACTCCATGCAGAAATTTGTCCTAGGTTAATGCAGCTTCTGTTTAGAGTCTACTCTGGAAGAAAACAGTTTGACTGACAAAACGCTTCCCTTCTGGCAGCTGTCCTTTTTGGATAGGTGCATGTTTAAGATTCTTGCCATGCTTTGAAAATTCCAATTCCAAAACCAAGTTGCATATTTACCTAGGAAAATACATCTTTAAAAGTACTTTTGAGGAGGGGAAGGCATTTGGGTATGGTCATGAACTAATTTAATGGCTCCTCATGAGGTAGGAATGGGCATAAGAAAACATACCTGCTGTGAGACTGGCAGAAGTTAAATGACCAGGATTGTTGATCTGCGATTACTGCTTATCACTGTGATTGAATCATTAATATTAGAATAAGATTTAAAAAAAAAAAAGTTTTAGGACCGAAAAGGATCGGTGTTACTTTCTAACTAATATTTCTTGTTGAAGTGAATATTGACTGTGTGGTAATAAAGCTTTGTTTGGCTATTCCTTTTTTTGACTGTCGGATTTTAGACTAGTCCAGATTAGTTACCAGCATTTGATTAGATGTGCTTTGTGAAATCAGCCACTAACTTAAAAGTCAACGCTGTCTCTTCTGCTTCTAAAAGTAATAATGGCCCGATTAAGTAATTTGAGGTTTTTTTGTCACACAATCAAGCTAGATACGTAATGACCTGTGTAAGTTTGTCTAGATGCTTAAACGGTTCTATTGGTTTGTAGGCTTTCTTGTTGCAGATGCTTAGTAGTTAATGCTGTTTCAATAAACCAAAAAACATAGTTGGGTATTTCCACTCTGTCCCTAAATTCTCAATGCGCTGGTAACTAATTTGCACAGAGTTGCAGCAGTTTGGTCTGTGGAGCTGTTTAGATTGCACAGCTGCAAGAGTCTCGAACAGATTCTCGAGCGTTCTAAATGCTGGTTTCCAACTCTAGTTTGTCTTGACAAGCGGGTAGCTACGTAACAGAGCCTGACTGTACCTCCTGAGGTGGAGCTGGGGCTCTGTTATCAGTAGGTTTGCTGAAACTCCTGGCTCCCTGGTTTCGGTATTTGTCCCTACTGAAGTACTGCATGTATTTTAAATGGATAACTTGGGTAGCTATTTAATGCTTTTGTTGTTGTTGCTTAACTGTCTTCCTTTCTATTGCCGTCGTAGAGGATTAACCTTAGTTTCGAACAGCAGTAGTTTTCCTGAGTATTTTCATTAGTGATTGGGCTTCTCAAGGTTCAGATACCGGTAGCCCTGGAACATAAATGTTTGTAAAGCTTGTGCATATGTATGCTTCCCACTTTAGGACATTCAAGTAGTCATTAACTAACTGTTGCTTATGATCTCCTAATTTGACAATGGAATCTCCTTGTAAGTTTTTAGCACTTGTCCATCTGGTAAAAAGTAGTTATTCCCAGTGTGGCTCACAAGAGCCCCTGCCTGATACCGTTAAAAAAAAAAACAAAAGTCCTTAGGTATTAGTAAGCTGTTATCAGTGGTGTTGGCAGAACCTTGGGAATACAGTTAAGTATTAAACTGTATAGAAATACTGGTTTAATGTTTGATATTCCTTAATTTGCTATGTAACCATGGGGAATAAAGTTCTTAAAAGCAAGTATGTTTCAAATGCAAAGACATTGTTAGCATAAACTATATAAGAACTGCCCCTTAGCCGCCTTCAGGATCTGAACAGGGTGGAAGAAAAGTAATTAAAGTTCCAGAGAGTGTGGCTGGTTAATATTAGAGCCTTTGAAGAAAAATGTAAAGTTCATCCAAATGGTAATATTAGCCAAAAATGACTGAGCCCAAAGCATCTCTTGTTTTCTTAGCAGCCTGAAGCAAATAAACTCGGCTGTGTTGGCTCAGTTTCTTGTCTTTCACGTTCTGTGAACTAAAACAGTACTGTTTGTAATTTAAAGGTTAGAATAGTTTTCTAGCGTAAAATGCAGGGTTCATTTTAAAACAGCTCTGCTCGATCTTAATAAACTACTTAACTGCTGAAGAGCTAATACATTAGGCTTTAATGTATACAGCTTAATGTAGTTTAAGATGCTGTAGACTGGAAGAAATAAATTCATTTTTATATTCATAATGCTTTGAAAAATCAGCCAAACTTAACATTGTTTTTGATAGCAGCAGGCAAGCAGCGCTCATTTGTAAAGTCCAGCTTGGAGCATGAAAATAATCTAACCTGAATATATGGCTGGCTTGTCTTGCACTAAAAGGTGTTCTGCAGGACTACAGAAAAACTCAGTGATGTTTAATTTTGAATAAATTCAAATTGCTCTCTGTTGCAAAGCATTATGGTACCCTTCTTTGAGGGCACCGAGAAAAGTGTGTCATTTCAATAACTATTTTGAGCAAATTAAAAAAAAAAATTCTGGGCTATATTACGTTGTAAACTCTCAAATTCTAGTATATATGCTGCAGAGGTGGACATGTTTAAAATTAAATTCTGCCTTTAGGAAGAGGAACACTAAATTGTAATCATGCTTTAAAATACGCAAATGTAACAAAGCACTTGCCTTCTGTTTAGGTAAAATTGGTGGTAGACAGAGGGTGGGACTGTATGTTAAATTTCAGTGATATTTCAAAGTAATTCCTTTCCCCTTCAAATTTGTGGCATACAAGTTTGGCTTTGATTAAAACTTGTTTTGATTTGATCATGTCAATGTAATGTTTTGACATATACTTTGGGGACTCAAAGCTCTTCACACATACTTACTTTTAATATTCCTATTAGTTAGCTCCATGCTATATGGTGTCTTTTATGGTCCAGATGGCCTCTCTAGATTGTTTTGTAGTTTGATCAAAATCTTCTTCCTTATTTATAGGCTCTAATCGATATGACTCTTGATTTTTTACAGGTGCTGTGAGCGATGTTGAGATGCAGGAACATTATGATGAATTCTTTGAGGTATGTAAAAATGCATTGAAGTGTTCATGGATTTGTCAACAGAAATTAGACGGATCCATAGAAAAGCTCTTGTTTCCTCAGGTGTTCATATAAAACTTACAACTTTCAGTGCTAAATATTTCCTGGTATAACCTTTGGTTAGTTTGGCTTTAATGTTAGTGTTTATAATAGACTTTGTTTAAAAGTCAGCAACTTAAGTGATACAGCATTTTGGTTCCATAATCCCCTTATTTCCTGTAAATGTAAAATGTACTTAATTATTTGTATAAAAGCAAATTAAGTAAAACTTAACCAAGGCTTATAGGTAGCGTTCTCAGTGCATCTTGCATATTCTGTAAATACCGTATGCATCATGTTTTCCACAGCTTTTTGTTGTATCCTCTTAGTGCCATACGTAGATGGACACAGTACAGGCCAAGCAAGTACTAATTTTAAAATTGGAAATGTAAAAAAAGGTGTTTCTGTTTTACCTTTTTTTAAGGAAGGCCTTCTTTTGTACTTACGAACAGATAAATGCAATACTTCTGTACGTGTGACTAATGTGCTGCAAACTTCTAATCGGTTGCTTTGTGCTTAGGAGGTCTTCACAGAAATGGAAGAAAAATATGGTGAAGTTGAGGAGATGAACGTTTGTGATAACCTTGGAGATCATCTAGTTGGAAATGTATACGTAAAGGTAGGATCAAGAGATGTGTTTCTATAATCAATAGGGGTGGTATTTACTGATTCATAATTTTAAAAGCTACTGTATGTTTGTAGTTTTTGCTAGAGTAGCTCCTTGGGATATAAGCTCCTCCAGCTTCACAGTATAAAGTAGAAATAGTGAAAATGTGAATGGAATCTGAAAGAAATTTTAAGAGATGATGAGAAGCTTTCTTGATAGTCAGAATCTGTGTCATTTCCATAAAGATTAACACTTTTTTTTTTTACATTGTTTATAAATACAGTCGCCACTGCTGGACTGTTTAGTTTGCCAGGATTAATTTGGGGTCTGTCTTCCCATCACACTGCCTTTTAAGCACTTCATTATGAGCAGAGGTTTATTCGCAACAGGTGTGTTTATTTTCTAACTTCCCAGTTAAACAGAATATCTTGTAACCAAGTTACATTTGGCAGTAGCTGGGTGGTTTAAGGTGCAGACTGGAGCACTGAGGCTTAGCTCTTAAAAGTCATTGGTATCTCATGAATAATGCATACAAAGTTGTCACCCGCAGAAATTTTATTGTGTGTACAATAGTGTTGGGGAGGTGTGAGAGAGTTTGAATATTTTTACTGTACATTCCCTTAACTGGAAGGTATTTTTATACCTAAAATTTTCAGCTACGTAGGTCACAATCGGAAATAAAAGTTGTTTTTCAAAATTTGCAAGTGGTTAGCTGTGAAAAGGAATTTCAAATTTAAGTTTTACATTCATTGTAAAACAGGATCAGATTTTTGTAAATTCTAATTTAAATGAATGAGAGCTTCAGTTCTCATGCAGATTTCTCTTAAATGAGAAAAATCCTTTACATTTGGACACTAGTCTTCCAGAAAGTATTCTTAAGCGTTCTTTTTGTCTAAATTTGTGCTAAGAAAACACAGTATCTTCTATCATATCTTTTAATACAAGCCACAAAACTTGAGAACATAATTAAGAGAAAATATTGATGTTTTTATTATCTCTGAGTTCTGATTAATGAAAAGCTAGCATCTTTGTTCTTTATTTGATGGACTGTCCCAGGAACTCTGAAGTAGCTTCTAGTCTGATTACTAGTCCTAAGTCTCAACTGTCACACTAATGGTTTTATATGAATCTTCAGTCTACTTCTGTTGGTTTTCTGTAATGTGAGAAAATGTTAATTTTGCTTTCAGTTTCGCCGTGAAGAGGATGCGGAGAAGGCTGTGATTGACCTGAACAACCGCTGGTTTAATGGACAGCCCATTCATGCTGAGCTTTCACCTGTGACTGACTTCAGAGAGGCCTGTTGCCGTCAATATGAAATGGGGTAAAAAGTGACTTCCTGTTTGCCTATGACAGTGTCTCTGAAACGCTTGCACAGGCAGGGTGGTTGCTTGGGTGTGGCTTTTATGTGTAGCTTAGTGTAGGAAGAAGACTGCTTCAGGTAATGTTAATATGGAGGACCTGCAGTCAACCTCTTGCCATCTTTTTAGGATTTTGATCTAGGAGTTAGTCAGTGTCAGTAAATAATGCTTGCAATTTACTGGTTTTAATGTTAGAGGGGATTAACTTTTAGATGGCTAGAGGTCCACTAGGGCTTAGGGCAAATGGATATGGTGTAGAGCTGGGAGTTTCAACTGTGTCTCTTGAATTCTGTTTCAGAGAGTGTACACGAGGAGGTTTCTGCAACTTTATGCATTTGAAGCCCATTTCTCGAGAGTTAAGACGCGAGTTGTACGGGCGTCGTCGTAAAAAGTAAGTTTGCTTTTAAACACTAATAAAACAGGTAGATGAAGAAGGATCAACTGCTGAAAATTCTGAAGACAAACCTTTAAGCTCTCTTGTTTTTTCTAGTGCAGTTCTGACACATACCAACGAAAGGACATCAAGTAAAGCTTTATTAGGCAGCCAGTTTAGAACAAAGGAATAGGTCTGTCTTTAAAAAAAAAAAAGTAGTTACAGCACTTCTTGCTATGCAGTGCTGTGGATGCTGAAGGTTGATGTGGCTTAAAGAGAAGGCAGCGTTCAAGGAGAAGAATATTCACTGATTTACTAAGTACATAGGACATACCCATGGTTCAGGTCTCCAAACTGCAAACTGTTGCAGGCGGCATTATATTCAATACCCAGCCTTACTTGTTTTTAGCAGTTAATGGCTAACTTTGCTAGCCCTTCTTCGTTCCTTAATGTTAGTAACAGGTAATACTGAGCTTAATTTTTATTAACACTAGCCTCACAGTGTGACCCTTCTTGATAGGAATTACGAGTAGGGCAAAGGAATAGTAATTTTACTTATTGGCAAAAAAAGACTGTGGTAAAGACATTTTATTATATATTTATATGAAAATACTTATTTATTAAGTAAGGCTTGTAGAAAGGCCTATACCACTGCTGTTACTATGATACCTGTCTTGCGGATGGTTCACTTTGAGCTGGATTCAATCTGCTTGACTTTAGGACCTTGCTATTTAGGATAGGCATATAAAATCGTTGAGCTTCCTTTTATATACAGCACAATTCTGTAGGTCTCTTTCAGTCACAGAAGGAGCCTGGGATTGTGAACATGTTTTTCCCCATAAATGTGTCTAATTGGCAGTGTCTTAGAATTTGTGAAGATGAATTTAACTTTGGAAAATGTAGATTGTGTTGCTTAGGCACATGTATTTGTGCCTAAATACTTTCCTAAAATAACCTGATTAATATTAATTTAAACATAAACGTAAGCTTTTAAGATGTCTGAATGATTAACATGAAAGACAAAGTACGGCCTTGTTTTAGCTTTTTGGTCACTTTTATGAATCTGAATCTCTCGGTGTTGTGGTTTAACCCCAGCCGGCAACTGAGCCCTACCCAGATGCTTGCTCACTGCCCCCCAGTGGGATGGGGGGGAGAATTGGAGGAGTAAAAGTGAGAAAACTCATGGGTTGAGATAAAGGCAGTTTCATAGGTAAAGCAGAAGCTGCGCACAGTGCAAAGCAAAACAAGGAATTCATCCACTGCTTCCCATCAGCAGGCAGGTGTTCAGCCATCCCCAGGAAACCAGAGCTCCATCATGCATAATGATGACTTGGGATGACAAACTCTGAATATTCCCCCCTTCCTCCTTCTCCCAACTTCATATTGCTGAGCATGACATCATATGGTCTGGGATACCCCTGTGGTCAGTTGGGGTCAGCTGTCCCAGCCGCGTCCCCTCCCAACTCCATGTGCACCCCCAGCCGCCTCGCTGGTGGAGTGGGGTGGGGAGCAGCAGGGGCCTTGACTCTGTGTAAGCCCTGCTCAGCAGTAATGAAAACGTCCCTGTGTTACCAACCCTGTTTCCAGCACAAATCCAAAACATAGCCCTGTACTAGCTACTGTGAAGAAAATTAACTCTACCTCAGCCAACACCGGCACACTCAGACTTAGTAAGGCTAATTACAAGGTATCACCTTTTATTGCAAGAAAGATCAGGTTTGTGTGTTTGGGTTTGGAATATGATTGTTTTACCCATAGCCCAATTTCAGTCTGTGGAAAAACAAATAAAATAGCTGAGTCTTCTGTCCAGTTTTGTCTATTGGCCCACAAACTCTTTGTGCAACTAAAGCTGTCACAGGTTAGCAGTAAAGCTTGATTAAAAAAAAAAAAAACAAAACCAGAAGTTCTTGTCAGTGGGGTTTCACAGGTTGACTGTATAAACTAAACTGACCTGAAAGTAATTCAACTCAGAATGAAATACATCAAAGTTTTTCGAGTAGGAAAAAGAAGGGTAAACCAGAACTTTTGAATAGTAGGTTCATTTAGTAATTCTGGACAGCTTAGTGGTTTGTAAGAGTTACATATGTGTCTGTCACAATAAAATTTGTCACACGCTTCCCCCCACCACCACCATCTTGCCACGGAACAATAATTTGCAAACTTAAGACTTGCAGCATTTGTTTCTGAGCTTTTTAGTTCTGCTGCAACTTCTACACCTACTTAACTCTACTCTTTACCTATTTTACAAAATTGACTTTTCTAAAATGCTTAAAAATATTCAAGCTGCTCTTTCACTTGACAAGTGCCCTATAAGCTATAAATCCATAGTAGCTGTGTTAGTGGTATGTTCTGGGGTGGTTTTAGTTTTCTTCCTGAATTTGTCATTGACCTCAGAGGCAGGGAAGATTATTTGCAAATGCTGATAGCTTCTGGAAGGGGGGATTTGGGGTTGGGGAAGGAAAAACAAAAGAAAACAAAGATAATTGAGTTGTAATTGCTAATTAATGTAGTTGGTTTAGTAGGAGTGGACTTAGAAACAGCTGCGGGCTTTCATTGTGTGTTGTTAAGAGCTATTCATAACTGCGAAAGCAGGTGTACCCTTCTCTTGCTGCTTTAATTAGCAGCTGCCTGACAGCGCATCTGGTTTCTCTATGTGCCTTTCCTTAAGTTCTGCACACCTATTATAACGAATGACTGGCAGCGAACAGTTGAGTCTTAACAGTATGCGTTGACTCCTCGGTATTAAGTTTGTTCAGTTTGTAAAGACAGTTTCACAGCCTGAGTGCCAATTTACCCATCCTTCTAATACCACATTGTCTTTCTTCTCCCTCATTACTTAAATGTTAAATTACTTAAATCCTTAAATGTTCTACTGTGTGGAACTGCAAGTAAACTGCTGAATGTGATGAAACAATAAAATGTTCCAACTTTCTTTGAAGGCATAGATCCAGGTCGAGGTCCCGTGAACGTCGGTCTAGATCCAGAGATCGTGGTCGTGGAGGTGGTGGTGGTGGAGGAGGAGGACGTGAACGTGATAGGAGGCGGTCAAGAGATCGTGAAAGATCTGGTCGATTCTGAGCCATGCCATTTTTACTGTATGTCTGCTAGAAAGTGTTGTAGTTTGACCAAACAAGTTCATAATGAGATTTTTTTTAAAGATGGGCTTCTGAATAAAAAATTTGTAGTGATACAGTATTCTTTGTGTAACTTGTTTCTTGTGGGGGGAGTCTTTTTAACTGTCATTCCTCTATCTTGACAAATACCTGGATTGACTATGCCTGAGGGAAAGGTGGTAAATGTATTGGAGGAGCGCCAGTTTTGGTTTTTGGGGTTTTTTTTATTTGGGTATAATTTGAACTGTTGATGAAAATGTGTGTGTATATAATATAAAATATTATATACATAGTAAAAATAATATACTGCTTAAGAAACAGTTACTCACATAAGTTTCCCTTTTCTGCTATGCTGTCTGCTTATTTAGGTTAGTTTAGGCACATTTAAAAGGAAGGCTGTGCAAAATGCATTTATTTACCAAGTAGAAACGCTTAGTTACAAAAATGTATGTTTGTTTGTTACCAGAAGTCTGTGCTCTGTCTATCAATGTGACTGTGGCATTTACAATAAATCCAATTTCTTGGTGTAAAATCTAAAGCCTATTTTCTAAGCACTCTGGAGTAGTTGAGTTGCTACTCCTGGCTGTGCCAGAGTTCATAGTTCAGTTTTTTGATGATCTTGACTAAATTTCTTGTCTTTGGCTGGAAAGAAAGTTGCCTAGTACAGTGTGGAAAAAAAAGTAATATTTTTATTGCAATGATTAATAATAGGCAGGTGAGGTTTTTTAAAAAACTCATGCTCCATGCAACATGATACATAGGATCTATTGAAGGAAATGCAAGGTCCTAAATACAAGGACCAAATTTCTTAGCAGACTGATTTTAAAGACAGTTTCACAGCCTGAGTGCCAATTTACCCATCCTTCTAATACCACATTGTCTTTCTTCTCCCTCATTACTTAAATGTTAAATTACTTAAATCCTTAAATGTTCTACTGTGTGGAACTGCAAGTAAACTGCTGAATGTGATGAAACAATAAAATGTTCCAACTTTCTTTGAAGGCATAGATCCAGGTCGAGGTCCCGTGAACGTCGGTCTAGATCCAGAGATCGTGGTCGTGGAGGTGGTGGTGGTGGAGGAGGAGGACGTGAACGTGATAGGAGGCGGTCAAGAGATCGTGAAAGATCTGGTCGATTCTGAGCCATGCCATTTTTACTGTATGTCTGCTAGAAAGTGTTGTAGTTTGACCAAACAAGTTCATAATGAGATTTTTTTTAAAGATGGGCTTCTGAATAAAAAATTTGTAGTGATACAGTATTCTTTGTGTAACTTGTTTCTTGTGGGGGGAGTCTTTTTAACTGTCATTCCTCTATCTTGACAAATACCTGGATTGACTATGCCTGAGGGAAAGGTGGTAAATGTATTGGAGGAGCGCCAGTTTTGGTTTTTGGGGTTTTTTTTATTTGGGTATAATTTGAACTGTTGATGAAAATGTGTGTGTATATAATATAAAATATTATATACATAGTAAAAATAATATACTGCTTAAGAAACAGTTACTCACATAAGTTTCCCTTTTCTGCTATGCTGTCTGCTTATTTAGGTTAGTTTAGGCACATTTAAAAGGAAGGCTGTGCAAAATGCATTTATTTACCAAGTAGAAACGCTTAGTTACAAAAATGTATGTTTGTTTGTTACCAGAAGTCTGTGCTCTGTCTATCAATGTGACTGTGGCATTTACAATAAATCCAATTTCTTGGTGTAAAATCTAAAGCCTATTTTCTAAGCACTCTGGAGTAGTTGAGTTGCTACTCCTGGCTGTGCCAGAGTTCATAGTTCAGTTTTTTGATGATCTTGACTAAATTTCTTGTCTTTGGCTGGAAAGAAAGTTGCCTAGTACAGTGTGGAAAAAAAAGTAATATTTTTATTGCAATGATTAATAATAGGCAGGTGAGGTTTTTTAAAAAACTCATGCTCCATGCAACATGATACATAGGATCTATTGAAGGAAATGCAAGGTCCTAAATACAAGGACCAAATTTCTTAGCAGACTGATTTTATTTTTTTTTTTTCTTCCACTCTGTGGTCTCTGAGCTGTCATTTAATGAAAGGCATTTCGTTAGCGTTCAAGGTCATAGGAAACTAACTGGATGCTAGTGGAAAATAAATTTTTTCCACCTTTACTTGCTTCCTGAGAGTCTGAAGTGCGATAAAAGCAAACGGGCAGATGGCAGTTTCTTCCCAAACAGGATCTCTTTCTGAGTTCTAATTGAATCGCACGATAGCTCTATGTCGTAGGTTCTGTATCTCTGAAGGAGTTAAAGCTCTCATTGAAATCTTGCTGGAACATCTCGAGAGACGATTTGTACAGTGGCCGACTTGCGGTTTAACTTCATGCCTGCTTTTATTCGATGTGTAACATAGTAAGAAGTTTTGGTCAGTGGTCGTATTTCTGCAAGATACAACTTTATATGAAGCTGCATAATATAATATAGCTTTCCAATGAGGGAGAGAATTTACTAGTGCTTTTATAGTTCTGAGTCAGGTAACTTGCTAAATGATAAATCTGCTCCTTGATTATTATTACAAAAAAAAAAAAGGAAAGAAATAGAAAGGCTATGGAAGCATTACATAGCCAGATTAAAAAAACAGCTTCTCTCTGCCTCCAAAACAAGTAAAAAAACCATTTTGCTCACTGGAACATGGAGTTGGCGAAGAAGATTATATTGAAAAATGAGCTTTTCTAAATGAATCTGCTTTGCCTCTTACTAACAAATTCTTGCACCAGTTCTGTTTGAATTGTTTGTTTGCACCAGACGGTTTGGCCAACCAGAGTGTGGAACTTATTTTGCCAGTAACCTTTTTAAAGAAATGTATCTTTCTTTGTGAAGATGGCTTCACTGCTTATGTTCTGTCGCAAGTACACAAATTATGCTTTCTTTTCACTGGAAGAAATTGAGCGGTGCCTGGCAGTGAGTGGCTGAACCGAAACCTGTGGTATTTCTGTGAGGCATTCGGAATTTTAATGCTGGTAACTTAGTTCTTGCAGTCTACAGGTTATTGATCCAGTTCCATTTCCTCTTCAGTGAGATTTAGGATTATTAGTGAGCTAATGTAAATCTCAAGCTCAGAAAGGTGAGGATAGGCTTTGTTTTTTTAAAACAGTGTCTAGTACAATGCAGATACTATTTAAAAAGGTGTAAGAACTTTTTTTGACATGGGTTAATGACACAAGCCCATTTGGTCTATAAACAAGTTCATTTTGAACTAGTTAGTGTAAACGTGTCCCTGTAACAGCTTTCATCTGTTTATCCAAACCCTGTTAGACTGCAGGTGTATTTCTGTGTGAACAGATAGCAGAAGGCTAGCTTCTCCCTCTCCCCCCAATGGCAATTTTTCCTTAAGAAAGCACTCTCAAATTCCACCAAATGTGCCATCTTACGGTCTGATTGCACAACTACCTAAAAATTAACCATGCAACTGGAATACGTCATGATGGGCACTGAAAGCGATGGATTTTTACTAGACACTTGAAGGAGAAAATCAGTGCGTTGGTAACTTGCCTGGTTGTGTAATGATTACCCAGGGACAGCATTCAGCATCTAAACTAAGCTCATGATATATCTCCAGTTCTAAGATTGTACTACCAGTAAAATTCATCCAGCTTGACATTTGAACTGCATGAATTTGGTTAAACACTTCCACCTGGGAGTCCAAATGGCATTGGTTTTCCAGTACGAACCAAGCAGAAATCCTACCTCCCCCTTCTATTGTTGCTCACAGTGTCCTAGAGTAAATTTCCCCCCCCCCCCCCAGCCCCTTCCCTAAGGTACCTACTCCTCACAAGTATTTCATTGTTGACTCTTCTGTTAAGCAGTGGATCTTAATTTATGGAATTCTTTTACCTCAAATAAGTGACAGCATACAGTATTTTCTGAAGTCTGGGTCAATTAGGTTGAAACTGTTAATCCCAAGTGGCTTCCTCTTCTTTGTATTTGGCTCTTACTCTGTGAAAATGCTGCTTGTCCATGAATATGATGTACGTTGAGACTGTAAAACCAAATGGAGAAAACTTGTTCAAAATAAAGCCTTTTTTTATAAGAATCTGACAAAAATTATCCCTTTCCTTTAGATGAGATGCTGTTCTTTACATGACTAATGAATGAGGACATAGACTACAAGTTTCAAATTCTTATCTCTTGTCCTGGAGCTGTTTTTTGAGTGATTCTTTGCCTTCTGTTTTTTTCAAGCTGGTGGAGCATGTCTTCAACTTACAAAAAAAAAAAAAAAACCAAAAAACCCAATCACAAAAAACCCCAGCCTCTCCATGTTTACTTGATAAAGCTGAAGTATCAAAAGAGCGCAACGTGGGGTTGGGCTTTTCTTTCGGTTTTAAATTGGTAAGGTTTGAGAGGCCCTGCGAGTTTCTGTTGTGGTGGTCTGTAGGGAACAAGGCGGCTCATTTCTGAGAGAAGGAGCGTGTTTAATTGAAGAAACGAGTAACTGAGAGGGGTCGTGGCTTTTTAATGATGATTCTCTCTGGCGTTGCATTGCTCCAGCTGCAAAACTTTGGGTGTTAACAAGCAGCGTCCCTTGCCACTGTGTTACAGCACCACCTTCAAGGCAATCGACTGTCTTCGTTCTCCAAGTGCGTGTAACTGCCGATGCTGCTGCGCTGGCTGCCCCAAAAAGGTCCTGTTCAGGGTAAGTTAGAGCTAGAAGGCGGAACCGCGTTGGTGCACGCTCGCTCCTGCTGGTGAGGAAGTAAAGCCCGATAGGTAAGGCTGTTGCAGAAGGGAGTCTTTGCAGCTGTGTTTGCTGTGCGTTGCAAGGACAAAGCTGAGCTGTATTACCGTAGAGCACAACTTTGCCTTGGAGTGCGTGAATTTCCATTCTGAAAAAAATGGAAATTACAGCCAAAGGTCTGTAGAATAAATCCATAGAGCTTCACGTTGAATTGATACGTGGTGCATTCTAAAACAATGCACAAGCGTTTCTGAATTCATCCCATTAGCCAGTGTTTTTACACGCCTCCAAATTATTTTCCTTCTTGCAATATTCGTTTTGTTAAATCCACACATATGGGAAATGGAGCACGTCTCCTGAACCATGTGGACAATCCTTCCTTGTCAGCAAGGAAGTGCTGACAGTGATCAGCGGTTGTAAACATCCCCTGTTAACAGACATAGTGTTTAATTTCTTACGAAGTTGTAACCTTCAGCAAGAGGAGCCACCAAGGAAGGGATGCTGCTCTCCTGTCCCACAGTCCCGTGGCACTTCGGTGGCAGCAGCAGAACCACTTCAGAAGGTCCCCATTTTCCCGCTGGAGGTTACTGCTGAAAAAGGTGTTAATTCAATTGATCTAAAGTTTCAACTGTAAATGGGAGGATGTGGAATCAGGTCACGTGGTGGAAGCTAAGAAAGCAGCTCAGCTGCCACCCGGCTGGCTCTGGTAGCCAGTGGCTTCATGCCAACACAGGCAAAGCGGGAGGGGGAAAGGTGGGCTTGTCTCATCTCCAGCTGCTAAGGTACGAACGCCTGCTGCTTAGCAGCTCTCCAATAATCATTGGGGCTGGTACTTCTTTGTAATTTCAGTTTTGGTGTTTGCTTTCGAACTAGATGGTTTTGACAGGGCCAAGGGCAAGTTGCACGCATTCGTACCTCAGCAGAGCAGAAAGGGGGTCATTTCGGATGAAGAGGTGGGATGCGAGCGGGGCTTGGGGCCAGCTGCTTCTTGGGTGAGCGGAGCCCGGCAGTGGCTTGTGTGAGTACAGTTGCCCCTTTGATCTTAAAAATATCAGTATCTTAAAATTATTTAGAGCTCTGCCAGCTATTCCCACTAGGAAGAGAAAGTTAAGGCGATTCAGGCATTCCTTTGGGACAAACCCATGCATTTTTGACAAAAGTCTGCAGAACACTATTCTTCCTGAGCGCTGTAGGCCACTTCCAGCTCTCTCTTTCCAAAGCTGCTCTTTTAGTTAGGTCTGGAGGGAAAAAACAATAAATTAATTGTTTCTGCCCTGGTTTCAACAAGCCACAAGACAAAGTGGGGAGAAAGGCAGCAGATAGCCATCGAGCCGGTTTCCCTGCCTCTCTGTTTTCACAGAAAAGCCTTTAGTCTACCAGGCTTAGGCCTGCTGTGCTTTTGCCAGCACCGGGCTTGATTTCAAGTCTTGCTACCTATGCAACAGAATATTGGCTGTGTTTCAGATGGTTCTCACTTTCTTCCTGGAGCCGTCTGGGATTCCAGCCAGGCAGAGGGAGGGAGGGAGCTGCTCCCACCGCAGCCCGTGCACAAGCCTGCCCTCCCGGGCTGGAGAGCTGTGGGAAGAGCCAGGGGGAGCAACTGCTCCTCCCTTTTTCTACCCACCCGTTTCCCTGGAGAGCTAATATTGTTTGTGTCTAAGAGAAAGACAAGAGCGAGCTTCACAGATAAAAGCAGCCCTGCATCTTCCATCATTTCCTCTCCCTTCCTCCTTCCTCTCTAGTGAACACGGGGGATGCTTCCTCTCTGCTTCCTCTTGTGTTGGTGGAGGAAAAAAGTCCTGGAGCTGCAGGAGGAAGAAACTTGATAAAGGGACTCTGAGGGCAGGACATGAAGAACTGATTGCTGGATAAAGCACAAGTGGAAAGTGAGCAGCTGGCCTTACTGACTTTGGGACTGCACGCAACATTAATTGCTGGACTGGGGATGGGCAAGGGAAATTCCAAAGTCTAAGACAAGCCAAAATCTGACCAAGTAATAGTCTCATTAATGTCTGGAGGGGTTTGGCTCGTGATTTCTGACCCTTTCATGTGACTGTGTTAACCACAACAGAGAGACATTTAATTGCCCTTCTCGCCCAGCCTCCAAGGAGGCAAGCCTTGGTCTTTTGGACAACTCTGTGATTCTCAAACACACGTGGCGGCAGCTGTAACCATTTACAGAAAGACCATCGTTGTCCAGCAAAGGGAACAGATCTGTAAGTAAAGAGAGAGCAGCAGGTTATGGCCTCCTTGTAGTACTAGTAGATGATTTGGGCAAGGTTTCTGACACAGTCTCTCACTCCACCCTGGTATCCAAGCCGGGCAATTACAGTCTGCATAGGTGGCTTGCCGGATGAGAGAAAAGCTGGCTGGGTCATTGGACTTAAAGGGTGGTGTTCATACCCTCCCTGGAGACCAGTTACAAGTTCCATATGGGTCTGTGCTGGTATCTGTCCTGTTTTAATGCTTTTAGCAGTGACTTAGAGGAGAAAATGAGTGCATCCTTCTTGGGTTTGTGGATGACACCAAATCAGGGTGGTGCACTCGACACATGAGAGGGCAAGGCAGTCACCCACAAGGACCTGGACAAGCTGGAGGGATGGGCCAGCATGAACCTCATGAAATCCAGCAAGGACAAAGACAAAAGTCTTACCCCTTGGGTGGACCAACCCCTGTCAGGGCACAGGCTGGGGACTGCTTGGCAGGGGAGCGGCTCTGCAGGTAAGGCCCTGGGGGTCATGGTGGGCAGCAAGCTGGACGTGAGGCAGCAGTGGGAGCAAGGAGGGCCAGCTGCATCCTCAGTGGGATGAACAGGGACAGCCAAGGGACCGAGGGAAGTGATTACCCCCTTCCACCTGGCACCCCTTAGACCACATCCAACACAGTGTTATCATTTGGGGCCCCCAGTATGGAGAAGACATCAGTAAGCTGAAGTGAGTTCGGGGCGGTGGAGGGGGCCTCCAAGATAGGCAGAGATCCCGTGAGGACAGGCCAGGTGAGCAGGGCTTGCTTAGCCAGGGGGAGGGATGACTGTGGAGGAGCCTAAGAGCCACCTACCTCCCTCTGCCCACAGGGAGGTCAGCAAGGGGAAAAGTCAGGACCTTTACCGAAGTCACAAATCAAAAGAGGGTGTCCTGGTTTTGGCTGGGATAGAGTTAATCTTTTTTCCTCTAGTAGCTGGCATAGTGCTGTGTTTTGGGTTTAGGATGAGAAGAATGTTGATAACACCCTGATGGTTTAGTTGGTGCTGAGCAGGGCTTACACTGGTCAAGGACTTTTCAGCTTCCCATGCCCTGCCAGGGAGAAGCTGGGAGGGGGCACAGCTGGGACAGATGACCTCAACTGGCCAAAGGGCTATTCCAGACCATATGACATCATGCTCAGTATATACACTGGGGGCACTTGGCCGGGAGGGTGGTGATCTCTGCTTGGGGGCAAGCTGGGCATTGGTCGGCAGGTGGTGAGCAGTTGCATGGTGCATCAGTTGTTTTGTATAGTAGTAGTATCATTTTCTGTCCTATTAAACTGTCTTTATTTCAACCCACAAATTATACTTTTTTTCCTTTTTTTTTCCCCAATTCTCTCCCCAGTCCCACTGGGGAGGGGAGGAGTGAGTGAATGGCTGTGTGGTGTTCAGGGTTAAAACCACAGCAGCGGGGAGGCTCCAGCTGGGGGTAGGGAAAACATTTTGCCTAGGAGCATAGTCAGGCACTGGACTGGCTGGGCAGTCTCTGTCCTGGGAGGCCTTCAAGACCTGAGTGGACAAGGCCTGTGCAACGCGGGTTGATCTCTAGACAGAGCCTGCTTGGAGCAGACGTCCTGAGGTCCCTTCCAGCCTGAGCAATACTGTGGTTCCCATGTTCAGCCTAAATCCTCATTGCTGTAACTTTGACCTTTTTCACTTTCTTTTTTTTTCCACTCTGAAGGAACATGAAAAATGGTTTATCCCCTTCCTCGTTGCCCTTTAGCTAAATTAAGGCAGTTCTGCCTTTTTTCAGTTTTCTCTTCTCTGAACAACTCCACTTCTTTCAGTCTTTACTCCTGGGCCACGTTTTTCTCTACACCTTCTTGTTGTGCTCCTCAGGCCATGTCCCACATGGGCCATATCTTTTTTGAAATGCAGTATTCCAGATGGGACATGGTACCTCAACAAAGCGCACCAGCGCTGAGGGTGCCATGTGTCCTGCAGACTATATGCCTGTTTGCATAACCCTGTATGATGTTTGCTTTTTTCACAACAGCAGGGCCTTGTTGACTCGCATTGAATTTGCGTGGCACCACAGTCATCCCTTCCACTCTACACAGTTGCTCTCCAGACAGTGGCTACTCGAGCAGTTGATTGCTCCTGCCTGGCTGTACAATTTTGCATTTGTCCTTATCAGCCAACTTCCTACTTTACTTTCTCATCTCATTTCTCCAGTCTGGCAAAGATCATTTTGAACTATGATTCTGTCCTCCAAATTGTTTGTGGCCTCTCCCATGCAGTTAAAATATGGAGTGAGGACAGGCTGAGAGAGTTGGGGCTCTTCAGTCTGGAGAAGAGAAGGCTGCGGGGAGACCTGATTGCGGCCTTTCAGTACTTAAAGGGGGCCTATAGGAAAGATGGGGAAAATCTTTTCAGTAGGGACAGCTGTGACAGGACAAGGGGTAATGGTTTTAAACTGAAGCAGGGTAGGTTTAGACTGGATATAAGGAAGAAATTCTTTACAGTGAGGGTGGTGAGACACTGGATCGGACTGCCCAGAGAGGTGGTTGATGCCCCATCCCTGGAAACATTCAAGGCCAGGTTGGATGGGGCTCCGAGAAACCTGATCTAGTTAGCAGTGTCCCTGCTCACTGCAAGGGGGTTGGACTAGAAGACGTCTAGGGGTTCCTTCCAACCCAAAACATTCCATGATTCTATGATTCTTGGGCTGCTTTTTCCTCCCTTTGTATAAAAACATTTCCATGAGCTTGTGCCAGAGCCTTGTGCTCACCCTTCCCAAAAGGGCTCCAGGCTACCACCAAAGCACCGTTGGTTCTTTGGGTGACTTCACCAGTCACTCACAAAAAGCCTCCTCCACCTGATCTTCCTCCTTCAGTGATCCCACCACAACAGCATTTACCTTTTTCTCCCCTCCCTTTGATCGCTGATTGCACTTGTCCAAGGGATCTCTCTGCTCAACCTTTCAGTCTTCAGCATGTCTACACATCACTGGTACAAGAAACAACATTCTCTGCTCACCGTTCCTAAACGAGCTGTTTATTTCTATGTTAATACTCCAGCCGATGTCACATTGCCGCTCCGCTGATCAAATCATAATTTTGATTATATACCAACCCTCACCGCAACTCCTCTTGTTCCTTGGGAGAAAAGTAATCCTAGGCGTTGTCAGGTCTCAGGAAATGGCTTAAGTGGCTCCACTTATGAAATTGGTGGTGACCTGCTGATTTATGGGTGTTATTCGCAAGGCTGGATTGAAGAGTAATCTAAGTGTCCCACCAACTAGGCTCATGTGTTACAGCGTTACGTATTCATTCCCGGCAACCATGACTAGTTTTAATGCCACTAATGCCAATGGCACAGTGTGGGTCGGTGTTGCTGTGGATATCTTTTAAGTCAGGGGTTTTTTTAAGTCAAACCTCCCATTTGCTTGTAAGCATTGCCAGTTTACCTTTACCTGGCTGCTGCCGTGGTAAAGGAGATCAAATTTGGATTGCAGAGCTGTGGTGCAATTACAAATACCTCTCATTAGCCTTAGCCTCACACATCATGTTCAGATAGTTTCCAACACGCCTAGCGCTGTCACTTGGTCTTACAAGCCTCCTCTGAGGTATCTGTTTTACATGTTACAGGATCTGGCAAATCCATCTGTGCTGCTGATCTCTCATCTCGACGCCCATCTGCCTGAAGTTGCAGTGGCTGCTGTGAGGCTGGCGCGTTTTCAGACCAACCAGCTGACTCAGCGCCTCTTCCCTCAGGCCCTCCGGAGAGGCATAAAAGGTACGGTTATCCCTCCTTGGGTACCCTCTGTGGGTATGACTGCAGTTTTCAAACCCTTGCACCCATTCTGTTCCAAACATTCATGGAGTTCTGCTTCCCCGTGCTTTACAGCTGGGCCTCACACATTGCCCTGGTGTCTCACAGCTTTTCTGATACCCATTTCAAGGGCCAGGCCTTCTTAACATCACCATTTTCACCCTCTGCATTCCTCTTGTGCCATTCTGTAATTTTGCTGCACCACATGCAAGCTAGAACCTGATTCCATGTGGTTTTCCAGCTGATGTTCTTCCAGTGGGGCTAATGCTTACATGTGCAAACCTCACTTTATGTGCGTATTTCAGACATAACTAGCTAGGCAAATTGCAATTTAAAGTAAATAAATGTCCTGTTTAACAGCAGTATTTTCTAATAAATCTTTCTTTAGGAAAACGAGAATAGCAACGTGGAATTCAAAGTAGGTTTACATCTACTCTGGTCCAGAAAGGGGTGGGGAAAAAGCAATGTAGTTTGTCATCAGCATGGATTTTTCTGTTCAATTTGAGCGTGGATTTTTAGCATAGGCAATGAAACAGCTGTCCTGGTTTCGGCTGGGATAGAGTTAATTTTCTTCCTAGTAGCTAGCATAGTGCTGTGTTTTGGATTTAGTACCAGAAGAATGTTGATAACACACTGATGTTTTCAGCTGTTGCCAAGTAGTGCTCAGACTACTCAAGGACTTTTTGAGCTTCTCCTGCTCGGCCAGGTGCATAACAAGCTGGGAGCACAGCACAGCTAGGACAGCTAACCCAAACTGACCAAAGAGCTATTCCATACCATAGAACGTCATGCTCGGGGGGTGTTGGTCGGTCGGTTCGGTTGCGGGGAGAGTGATCACGGCTGGGGGACTGCTCGCGGCTCGGGGAGTGATCACGGCTTGGGACAGGCTGGGCATCGGTCAGTGGGTGGTGAGCAATTGCATTGTGCATCATTCATTTTGTATATTCTGTATATTCTGTTACCATCCTCATTATTACTATTACTATTATTTTCTCTTATTAAACTGTCTTTATCTCAGCCCTCGGCTCTAACCTTTTATTTTCTTTCCGATTCTCTCCCCCATCCCACTGAGGGAGGGGGGGAGTGAGCGGGCGGCTGCGTGGTGCTGAGTTGCCAGCCGGGTTAAACCACGACAACAGCTGCCTTGGTGTTACTGTTATTTAAGGCCAATATAAAATACCTGGCTCGTCTCTTGATTTATTTGTAATTACTCAATGTTTTTCCTGTGGGTTTGTTTTTTGGGTTTGGGGTTTTCTTTGTTGGTTTTTTTCACAAATGTCACCCCACATTCTAGTCACAGTCCGTTTTCTTACCAGAGAGACCCTTGAGACTCTGTGACCCTAAGACTGGGCATTCAGCTTCAGCCCAGTCACATCCGGTTGTAAAGTTGATAAAAACAGACCCACTTGATTAAAGCATCCCGTTCCTTACTTTTCATTTGTATACAGCACGCAATACTCCCCAAGTAGCTATACCATGTAGCATCGGTTATGCCCAGGTGGAGACAAGACAGTTGTCTCCAGGCCTTCGATTACCTAAAGCACATGGAACGCTTCAGGGTGCCTCACGTTCTGACACAAAGCCACCTTGCAGTGCTTTTCTCTTTATTGGCTTTTTTTTATAGGTACAGAGGGAATCGCTGCTGGGGCTTGCTCAGCCTGAAGAAGAGGAGACTGAGAGGGGACCTCATCAACACGTACAAATATCTTAAGGGTGGATGTCACGAGGACAGAGCCAGACTCTTCTCAGTGGTGCCCAGCGACAGGACAAGGGGCAATGGGCACAAAATGAAGCATAAGAGGTTTCTGTTGAAGAACTTCTTTACCTTGAGGGTGATGGAGCACTGGCACAGGCTGCCCAGGGGGCTGTGGAGTCTCCTTCTCTGGAGATATTCAAAGCCCGCCTGGACGATGCCCTGTGCGACCTGCTCTGGGTGAGCCTGCTTGAGCAGGGGGGTGGGACTGGATGATCTCCCGAGGTCCCTTCCAACCCCTGCACTTCTGCGATTCTGACTTCCCACAGCAGCAAGCTACGTTCTCGAGATGTTCCACTCTGGTAGGCCTCCTCGGTGTCTCACGGCAAGGATTTCTGTTTGTGTTTTTATTACTATTATTATTATTATTAATTTTTAACTTTCTGCGTAACCCGCAGCACCTCGCCCTACTCAGGGATCGCCCTGAGGCGCTGCCCACGCGCTCCCGCGCGCCCCCCGCCCCCCCGGCTCCATTCCCA